AAGTGATAGAGTTTGTATAGTTCTTTCTTGTTTCCCCTGTGGGGATAGACGCATGCTCTTCCTAGTGAAATAGCTAGTCATTTCACAGAATAAGTGCTGGAGCACTCTGTCTTCCACACGGGCGTATTTTAATGAGGAATAAGAAAACATAACTCCAAATATTACAAATGAATGATTTATATATTAGGAAAGGATTTATAATGCAAGTTACATCTGTGATGAAAGTTGTGTATAATTATTTTGTACTATTGCAGACCTTGCGAGACTCATCAATTATTTTCTCAATGTTTCTTTATCTGCTGAAATTCTGTGTTTCTTCTTTAAAAGAAAATCAGACTACTCTTTTCTATGCTGGCGCGTACAGGAACCAGAAAATCGCCGTGACCTCACTGCCAAAAGACGCATCATAATCATAAAAGTGACACTTAACCTGTTCACAATGCACAATTTCTAAACTTCAATAAATGACGGATTTTATTGGAATTTGCATATTTAACATACCCATTAGTACTTGAATATATAATCGCATTATAGCTGTTCCATTTTATTTTTATGGTAAATGAAGAAGTACATGGTTCAAGCATATTAATAAAATTAAGTAATGTTTGTAAGACATTTATTTTCAAATCACTATGAATTTCATCTGCAAATAACCTCTTCAGAACACAGGAGAGGGTAGTTTGGAGGAAGCATGGTGCCATTTATTAATCTAAGAGCATGCATCTTTGTGGAACCTGAATGGTCTGTCTGCCTTTAACAATCTTTTTTTGTTTGTTTGTTTAGAAGACAGAAAGAACTGGTTTTATCTTAGAAAAATGTCCAACAGTATGAGGTGTTAGAACTATAAAGCTTACCTACATATCAATTTTTAAAAGTACAGTATCAGCAACTCAATATTATAAGCAATTTCCTCCATTGCGTGCGTTTCCTTTACAAATACAGCAGCTGATTTTAAGAGTCCCATAAAGTTCAATATGCTTGCATAACATTCCATAAATTGAATTATCTTTGCATCAGTGGATAAAGCACAGATTAGCTCGGGGCAAAAGGTTGCAAAAGAATGAACCAAGTGGCCCAATGTCACACGCCACAGGCTCCAGCACCAGGGGAAGGAGCTCTCTCTCCGCAGGCCTTGAGTGTGATGTAACAGAACGTAAAGTACTGACCACGCTTTCAAAGGGTTGCAAAGATGAAATCTTTGATGCAGGAGTCTACCATCTCATTTCAGGCTTCTCTGTGTGATGTGCGATAGAGAACGTGTGTTTCTGCTCTGATGACTGTGAGCAGTTTTCCAGGTTGGGTGATAGGTGGTCACCCATGCAGATGGCTGTACTGTTAGTGGAGACGACGAAAACCCAACTCAGAGTGCACGTCACCACTGGACAGTGGCCTTTGTGAATATTCACAGGACTGCATCTAACTAGTACGCATCTGCCCTCCTTACAGGTGACTAAAGGGCATGTCGCTTAGAGTGAGTGCAGAATTGTTTTCATTTTTCTCCTTCAAGAAAGGCTGCTGGTTACAGTCGTGATTTCCCACTGAAATGATGTGCATGAAAACAAACAAACACACACCTTGGGCAACAGGGAAATCACATTACTGAGGGCCGTGGAAAAGTGCACGAGACACAGCTGGAGGCTGCTCAATCGGGTGATGCTTCAAGAATAGCTCAATTAGCAGGTAATGCAGGTTCTAAGTCATATAGAGATAATAAATCATAGATGCAGCTCACATCGGAAAGCTCTCCTCAGATTTCTCTATTCCATTTTTGGCATGGGAGTGACAAAGAGAAATAATTATGTTGGTTAGAACCAAACTATCACCTAAAAAACAAATTCTGGAGACTGGCATTAACATTTCACTGATAATACTCTTTTCATAAATCGTGGCATTCCTGTTAAATTATTCATACAGTGTTCTATGAGAACATATGACAATTTTTAAAAAAATGTATTCTTCACAGCATCTTGCAATCAGCCAGAATGCCAATCCATGGGTTATTTTTCTGAATCTTGCCATCTGAATGTTCTGAATAAATTTTGCTTTATTCAATAAGTTTCACTGTTGTTTCCAAGCATTTCTTTTATGATTTCTACAGCTTCACTTCTATTGTATTACGCTTCTATTTTATTTTTACCCAGCGTCTTGATTTCCCTTTATATCCGCCGTGTGCTTCACTTTACCATTTTTGCAATATATCGTTTCAGCTTTGAAAAAAGATATTTCCTATTATCTGATCTTCTCTTGATGTACTTAACTTTGTGACACTCGTATTTCTCTGAGTGACCTTTCTGATATAATTCTTTGGTGCTACATCTTGAAAGTGCCTGCTGACAGATTTAGCGGGTGCCCTTTTAATTCTCATCCTGGAACCACCCTGCCTGTCTATAATACACTTTCTGCCAGCTCTGAATTGTCTGTGTAGCGCAACAATAACTCTTCCTGGTGCCACTCCCTAGTCACCTCATGCATTTTTCTTTTTGGAATTGTCAGATGACTTTTTCATAGTTATTTGCCTAAAGAAATCTTGAGTCAATGTAATAGAAACATATAGACATCATCACGTAGCCCCCGTCTCAGGAGGGAAGATTGATGTATGCCTTGCAGAGAACCAACTGACACCTGCAGTTTCGGGGTTGCTGATGAGGGTCTGAGATGCCCACTGTCCTCCTTGTGTTTTTAGTTACTCCCCCTCCTCACTCCCCAAGTTCTGGTTTGTGACTCTCCAGTGAGAAGAGTTTCTAGTTGATTCTGGACCATACTCTCATTCTACCATGGTTATCCTTCATTGCAATCCATTTTTCCAAGGTAATGGCAGCCCTGCCCTGCCCTACCAGCCTGACGCAGTACAAGAGCCTGTCTCTCTTCTACATCGGTGGATTAAAATGAACCGGACAACACCAAATCAATCCTGGGAAATGGTAGAAGTCAATTAAGAACTGTCCCTCCTCCCACACTTTGAACTAATATCCTCTCATTTTAATCATTTCATGCTTTTGTCTAAGCCATGATGTTTACTTTTTTAAATAAATTAACATAGTACTTGGGAGGCTGAGGCAGGAGAATCACTTGAGCCCAGGAGTTAGAAGCTATAGTTAGCTGGGATTGTGCCCCTGCACTCCTGCATGGGTAAAAGAGCAAGATCCTCTCTCTAAAAAAATAAAAAATATATAAATTAAGATAAATTGTTTAATAAGTAAGAGATTATAAAGACCCTAGTATCATTCTACAAACAGACTGTGCCATGGGCTGTGTGCTGCATACTGGATTACAGTGGGAAGTAGAATCAAGTCTCTGCCCTTATGGAAATTGCTAGTCTAATGCAGAAGAGCAACAAGCTACAGAAAAATCCATTGTCAGTATGATGGGTATTGCCGGTAAAAATGAATGCAAAGTCATGTGCGTTAGACTTCTACTACCAATGTCTGCCGGAGGTGGAGCAGGGACCTGTTGTAGGGGTCAGCACCCCCTTTCCACAAGCATAAAAATAAAGAAAAATCTTGAATTCCTTCAAGAGAAATTCCAGGCACCTAGCTGGCCCCAAGAAGTAAATGAGTAAAAGGGTGACTTCATAAGCAAGAAGGTAACAGCCCCCTAAAACAACAGCCAAGGAAAGGAGAGCCATGAGATGTTTGGTTCCCGACAGAAACCAGAGGTAACAGCTTAACATATATCTTTGAGTTACATGGACCCCCACCAAAAGTATCTGCTGGCACGGAGACCTCAGATAAAGGTAGACTGAGGACTGAACACTCACCACTGTTCTCTCCTAAATTTCTTCCTTAGGGGCCTGGAGGAAGTCATACCCACAAGCCAGAGCTAACATTCTTTTCTGCTGACCCCACGTTTTAAAGCAAAGCTTCTTTTCCTTAACCAATTGAAAATCAGAAAAGCGTTAAATCCACCTATTACCTGTAAGATTCAGCTTCAAGATATCCTGCCTTTTTAGGCCAAACCAATGTTTGGTATTGATTTGTAATTTTGCTTCTTAAGTATTGATTTGCAATTTTGTCTATAATTTCTACTTTCTTGAAAATTTCCCCTGGTCTTACAAACCCTTGCTTACAAGGCATGGGGTTGGTTAGGTCTTAAGCATGAGCTGTCTAGTTCTCCTTGTCCAGTACCCTAAAAATAAACACCCTTCTTTCTACTGCTGCAAACCTCGATGTGGATGTTTGGCTTGCATGTGTTGGGTGAACAAACCCCAGTTCAATTGGGTAATATGACACAGGTTTCAATGAGCCAAAATCAAGGTGTGGATACGGCTGGGTTTCTTCTCTGAGACTCTAGAAGAGAATCTGTTTCTTGGCTTTGTCCAAAGGTCATCATATCCCTTGCCTCACGGCTCTTTCCTCCATCTCTAAAGCTAGAAACAGCAAACTGAGTCCTTCTCACATCGTATTGCACTGCCTCTCTTGCCTCTCTCTTCCACTTTTCAGGGCCCTGCAATTACAGTGGACCACCTGACTCATGGGGAACCCTCAGGTGATGGGAAGACATGGGGGAGCTGTCCATGGATAGAAATACAATGAGAGTTTTATTTTTGAGATGATTATTCAGAATTAGCATAAACAACAGAGGCAATGGGTTGGTGTTGGGACAGTGACAACAGAGAGCTGGTAGAGAATGTTTCGAGAAGGCAGGAGATGACGTAAGTGTGGTCTTCCATGTTTTGTTTCCAGTTACTCATCCAAAACCATTCATCTAGTTACTCCAGTGGTAACTGCAGCATAACTTCTGCTAGGAAGATGATAGCATTTTAATCTTGAGGATTTGGTGTTTAGAAGTTGGTAACAAAAATGCCACCACAGGTTGGGAGAAGACAATCGAAACAAAAGCCCCTGAGAACCAGAAGATCCACTGATTATCCAGTTCTTCTTATAAACCAAGATTATCTTTAAAAATCATGAGAAAAATACAGTTCATTATATTGAATATACTATATTAGACATCTTATTCTCCATTTCTATTTCAATCATCATACTTTCTTCAAAATGCAGCTCCAGAAAATGTGGTTAATGCTGGTGCAGGACAGGCTTTAACGACCATTGAAACTACTGCCGCCACCAAAATTCAGTGGATGCCTTCCCGAGTTGGGGTGAAACGGCATCTTGAACTTTTCAAATGACACGCATCCCAGGTCAGTATACTGTGATGAATAGTTTAACTTGAGGTATATCTTATGTGTGTATTCATTAAATTATTAGCGGTGCATTCATTAAAAGGGGTCCCTTCCCGAAGTTTGAAGAAGTTTTAGCCGTTTTTATATAATAGTACAGTAAATACAGGGGTGTATTCAAGTGAATAGAAGTTTCACTTATCACCATACTGCCAAGCTAAGCAATAAGAGCTATATAAATCAAATGGCACGTGATTTTAAAATATTGCTCCAAACTCATTATTTATATAAAGGTCAAAACAATGAAATGAAAAAAAAAATGGCTTTATGTTAACCAGGTAAATTTAGCTTTCATTTCTTGTGCAGATGTCATCTCGAGGACATGGACTTCTTTTGCAGCCTGTCCTACATCCGTGGAAATCATGTCCTCTCCTGGGTAACTATGTCCATGATCTGTGTTTTATGAATATGGTCACATTCAACCTCTTTTGGCCCCTGAGCATGTGGTGGCTTGTTGATTGTTTTTGTTGTTTATTTCATCAGCACATGGAGCATGAAGAGTTAGTATATATTATTTAACAGAAAAACACGTTCTCTGGTCCAAAGGAAGATGATATGTCATGTCTTACATGAGGGTAGACTCCTCCTTTCATGGTCTAAAATTTCTTTGGAAGGAAAGGAGATTGTGATTTATAAGTAGATTTTATTATGGAAAGAAAATAAATACAATTAAACTTTTTACAATCATAAATGAAAATAAAAAATGTGAACATAAATTTATACTAAAAGTCATGAACAACTGCAAATATGAGGAACTGCAGGGGCTTTGAAAAATATAAAGATGGACAAGAGAAGTTTCTTTACACAATGGTTAGCAAATTTATAGAAGTTAGCGTATTTATAGAACCTCACGAGTATTATTAAACTACATTAAGTAGTTTAAGTAGACTGCACAGTAGTGTCAAGGATGGAGAACTATAATAACTGTTAAGAATAGCCACAGATGTTTTAAGCAATGGCAAAGTCAGGGAATATAATTTTTAAGATAGTGGAAGATAGGGAATATAATTTTTAGGTGCCAATGGCAGATGAGATTCATTGTGTTAAGTATTGCGAGTTGAATCCCAAAGCACATTTAATATTTTCACAAGGAGAGTATGCTCTCCTTTGAGATGTATTACAGAATCATAAGTTGAAATGTAATGATAAACTTGTGTGCTTGGGGGAAACTGGGTTATGCTTAGAAAAAAGTGGAAAGGCATTGTTGTAAAAAGCCCTCTAAGAAATAATATTTATGAAACTGAAGAAGGCATCATGTATAAGTTTTATAGTTTTAAGCTAACATTTATGTCTGATGATTCATTATGAATTACATTTTGCATATGGTATTGATGTATAATTTTTCTTTTCTGTTTTGTTTTCGTTTTCTTGCACATGAAAACCCGTTTATCCCAGCATCATTTGTTGAAAGATTATCTTTACTCTGTTGATTTGCCTTTGCACTTTTGTGAAAACTCAGTAGTCATATGTGTGGATCTGTTTTTGCTCTGTATTTTTTGCCATTGATCTATGTTTATGTCAATACCACACTATCTTGATAACTATAGTTTTATAATAAATCCTGATGGATAATAATATTAGCATGTTGTTTTCAATTCCCTGTTTTGAGGCATTTGTTGAGATACAAAAATTATTCTAGGAAGAATCTATATCGATGTCACTTCTCTCAGACAAGACATTGGTAAATTTTGTCTATGTCAATTATATGGATCTTCTTAAAGAAAAAATATTTGATTTCCTTGATTTGGGAGATTTTTTTTTTTTTTTGGTGTTTATTTCATGTTTGTCTGCTCTGTCCTCTATTATTTTCTTTGTTGCCACATATTTGTTCTTCCTTAACTAGAAAGCTGAAGTTATTGACATGAGATTATTTTTGCTTTCGAATCCAGACATCTATTACTATAATCTCTCCACTCCCCGCACCATGTAACACTCTAGCTGCCTCTCAGAAGTTTGAATTTGTTCATTTTTTTCTTTAGACCAAAAATCTTTCTCGTTTCTTAATGTTTAGTGCATTCTTTGATACATAGGTTCTTTAGAAGTGGGATATTAGTTTCCAAATACTTAGCATTTTCTCAATGTTCCTATTAGTAACTTCTAATTGCACCATGGTAGTAAGAGAAAATGCTTTGTGAGAATATTGAGATTTTTGTTATGACCCCAAATGTGCTCTATTTTGGTAAATGTTTCCTCTGTACTTGAACAAAATGTGCATTCCTCTGTTGAATAGGATGTTCTAGAAATGTCACTTAATGTTGGCTGACTCATATTGTTTAAATATTTTGTATCCTTACTGATTTTCTCTGTACTTGTTACACCAGTCACTGAGAGGGAGCATTAACATATTGGGCTACAATTGCTGGTTTTATTATTTTTTCCCATGGTTCTATCAAGTTTTGTTTCATATATTTGGAAACTCTGTTATTGGTTTCATAACACTTAAAGAATGTTAAGTCCTCCTGATAAATTGATTCTTTTTTTTTTCTTTCTTTCTTTCTTTCTTTTTTTTTTTTGAGACGGAGTATCACTCTGTCACCCAGGCTGGAATGCAGTGGTGCAGTCTCAACTCACTGCAACCTCTGCCTCCCAGATTCAAGTGATTCTCCTGCCTCAGCCTCCCAAGTAGCTGGGATTACAGGTGCCCGCCACCACGCCCGGCTAATTTTTGTATTTTTAGTAGAGATGGTTTTTCAGCATCTTGGCCAGACTGGTCTTAAACTCCTGACCTTGTTATCCACCAGCTTCAGACTCCCAAAGTGCTGGGATTACAGGCATGAGCCACAGCTCCCAGCAGATAAATTGATTCTTGAATAATTGATAATGACTTAACTTAGAGTGCTGATATTATTTTCTCATATATATATATTTATCTGATATTGATTAAAGTCATTACAGTTTCTTTTGATTAGTGCTATCATGACTTTTAAAAAAATTTTTTAATCTATTTTTGAGTCTTTATATTTAAATGTGTATTGTAAGGATAAAATATAGTTTGCCTCTATTTTTTAAATCCAACAATCTCTGCCTCTTAATTTGGGTGTTTACACCATTTTTATTTGTTAAATTTTGAAATTAAATCTACTGTCTTGCTATTTGCTTTCTAATTCTATCCTCTGTTCTTTCTTGCTCTCATCTTCTTTTTTTTTGGCTTCCTTTGAAATAATTAGTTATTTTTAAGGATTCCTTTTTATCTTAATTTTGACTTATTACTCTAACTCATCACAGTCCCACTTCGAGTGATATTATACCATGTTATAAAAAATGTAAAAAGCTTATAAAGTAATAAAATTGTATTTACTCAACTCTCAAATCTCTTTTCTCTTTTTATTTATTTTTTTATGCTGTGGTATTGTCAAATATTTCAAGTTTACATTATATTATAAATATGTGATACATTGTTATTATTGTTATACAAACAATTAATTGACTTTTAAAGAGATTTAAATAATAAGAAAGTAAGCTACTCATGTAGTTCCATTTTCAGTGCTCTCCATTCCACTGCCTATAATCACATTTTTCAGGTAACATCTTTCTTCTCTCTGAAAAACATGTAAGATTGGTTTTGGTGCATATCTGCTTCTTATCAATTGTATGTGTAAAAAATCTCCATGAATGTAAAAAAAATCTTTATTTCACCTGTGTTTTAGTATTTTATGCTGGAAGTTTTTATTTTACATTGTTTTCATTGTGCTTGAAAATTTTATGTTGGAAGTTTTTCTTTTGAACTATTTTCAAAGAGAAAATTGTGGTTATTCCTATCTTTGTTCCTCTGTATATATTGTGTCTTTTTTCTTTGCTTGCTTATAGGATCTGTGTGTTATTGTTAGATTTGAGTACTTTGAGTATGATGGACCAAGTATATATTTTTTGGTTTGTTTGTTTTAGGTTTCTCATGTTTGGGATTTGTTGCATTTCTTGGATCTGTTCTTTGTTGTATTCAAGAAATTTGAGAGTTTTCAGACACTATTTCTTCAATCAGCTTTTGCTCTGGCCCCCTCCATTATCAGGGAGTCCATGTGCATGTCCATGAATCCATTCCAAGTTTTCCCAAAGGTCACTGATGCTCTGTTCATTTCTAATTCTCTTTGCTCTTTGTCTTTTATTTTGTATAGTTTATTTTGCAATGTCTTTAAGTTTACAAATATTTTCTTCTGCAGTGTCTACACTAAAATTAATCTCATTCACTGAATTTTTACTTTATATATAGTGTTCACTTATTGAAGTTCAACTGAGTCTCCTAAATAATTTCTAAGTCTTTATTGAACTTTCTGAACATATGCAGTACAATTTGAAAAAAAAAAAGTCTCTCTGCTAATTCTGACATCTGTGTAATTTTGTCTGCTTTTGACTGAATTTTTTTTCTCTTTATAATGGCTCATATTTTTCTGTGTTTAAAAATGTCTGGTAATATTTTATTGCATTCTTGACATTGTGAATTATATCTTTTGGCTGCTGGATATTTTTATATTTCTATAAATATTTCAGATCTTTTTCATGAGACACAGTTATGTTACCTGAAAACAGTCTGATCCTTCAGGTCTTGTTGTTAAAGTCTGTGAGGTGGAAGAGAAGCAGTGATTGGTCCATGACGAGCTATTCTCGTCTCCTCAGATGAGACCTTACTGACTGTTCCCCTCTGTGCTCATGGGTCATGAGTTTTCCCGTCTGTCTGGTGAAAACTGATGCTATCTCAGCCTTGGGTGAGTGACCAACACTGATACTTTTTGTTCTTTCTGATGGTTTCTTCATTTATGTGTTCTGATCAAGTCTTAGCTGAACATTCTGAAGGGATCCTCTGCAGTTTTCTAGAGGACTATCTTTATACACTTCTCTCCCTGTTGCCACCCCGTTCTTCAAACCTGTAACCACGATTATCCCCCTGGGTGCTCCGTTGCACCTCTTTAACTCTCTGGGCTCCATCTGGGCTCCCTGTCCCTGCCTGCTGGCTTGAACTCTCGCAAGGTACTAACCTAGAACAATCACAGGCCTTATCAGAGATCTTCATTGCTGGGTGTTCAGCACCTCGAGATCCAATACGTTGTATAGTTCATCAGTTTTTCAGTGTTTCAGCCAGAAGATAATCTTGGTTTCTGATATTCCATCTTGTTTCAAAGTGAATTCCCAAGAATGAGAATACTTTATGACCAAAATCTTGCCATGATAGCTGGCTATTGAAGTTCAATTAGAAAGTGTCAAAACAACAGATAAATTTATTTTTATCATAGAGTCTAAGAGTGAGATATGTAAAATTCCTAGAGGTAATTGAACATTTCAAACAACTTTTTCTCTCCTTAGCTGAGGAGCTCTTGTACAGTGCCTCCATTGCATCACGCCTATGACTTCACTTGTCCTAATATAGTGACACCACATCTCGGCATTACTATTTTGTCATATGTCTATTTATATGATTTCCTTCAGCACTTATGCATTAATAGTTTTTCCTATGGGTTTTATTAACTGGAGCTTGAAAAAAAAAATTCCTGCCAAATCCCACACTTTCTTCTGTTCCAAGCACAGACAAACATTGTAAATATATGTAAAATAAGTATTTTCATAGCTACTGGCTTTCATATTGACCTGTAGGTTGATTTAAAACAAAGAACTACTCTAGGGCGTCAAATTGTATGCAAACCAAGCGTTTCCTGCCCATAGTATTTAGTGTTTAGATTGTTTGGTTTGTGATCCATTTAATTAACGTCTTTAATTAGAGAAAATAAATTAACAGTAAGTGGAGGACCATGGTTGCTCAAGCCCCTGGGAGAGTTTCCTTTCACCATCGGAGTCATTGGGATTCTGTTCTGCTTCATTGCACTGCTGGCTGGAGTGGAAATTTTAATGGTGCTGTCTTATGCAAAGGGTGTGCTCTACAAGTAAAATAAATAAAAATGGGGAAATGTACGCTTTGTACCTTTGAAAGGTTGCATTTAGTGGCACATAAGACTTGGGTTACAATAACATCTGAAATGAGCTGGGCACTGGGAAGGTTGCACGACTTGTTTCAGAGGAGAGCCAGTTGACTAAGCACTGGCGTGATTTAGTGCACCGTCCATTATTTCCTGCCTGTCATTTAAACAGGCTATCTATATGCATGGTAAGACCGAGAGTACAAAGAGGAGGTGGACGGCATGATTTATGGGTGAGGGCAAACACCTGTGGGTTAAGCAGCTCAGAAATTAGCCACAAGTAGCATATTAGTGCAGCTAATCAGGCACGGTTCAGTATTTCGGTTTCTTGATTTGCCCATAAATAAGCTTCTCTGTGGCTACCCCGAGGCCCTCAGTGATTAACTGCCTTGACCTACAGTAAAATACACAGATCAAGCAGCACAATGGGGTTTGCAGGTGTACGCTGTAATCATGCGATTTTAAACTTGTACATTTGTGGGCAGAAGGGCTGCGAGTTTCGAGAATTGTGTTAAGGAGGCTTATCAGAGTACTTAACAGTCAATTTGCTTTTCATTCCTCTCCTCCTGTGATTGTGTTGACAACTTGTAGACTCAACTGCCCTGTGACCATTCAGTGACCATGAAATATTTTCTGCCTTAGTGTCTATTGCAGAAACAGAAGCAATTCTTATCCTGCGAGGCGTGTGTGTTAATGTCGCCACGTGTGTGTTAATGTCGCCACTTTCAGTAAAATCCAAATCATCTATGGTATGTGTTTTTTGTTTTACATTTTGTGGGTGGGAGCCTTTTGCACTGCCTGGTATGTGTTGCTGTGTATCTGAAGAATCCTCTCCTATTGCCTTCCATTTATAGTGACCAAGCTGGACCATTTATGCTAGAAATGAAAGGCAGCATAATTAGCCAACAGTGGAACTACTAGTCAAACCACCATTGACATCGTGTTAAATATCTGTTACGCATCCATTCACTAAACATTGCCTCTTTCTTTGATCTTAGGAAAAAGAGAAGAGTATTAATGAAAGCAAAAACAGAATCCTGGGGAAAATGATCTCTGACTTTAGTGAGAGGTTGACGTTAATTATGGGAACAGGACAACAGATCTAGAGGACTTCAGTAAGTGAAATTACATAGGTAACTTCAGTAAGTGAAATTATAGGTACTCTGATATAGCCAGAAGTCACCAGGAGAGCCAATGTTTCCCCATATTTTTAAGGAGTTTTCTGGATCTCCTAGTCTATCCTGTGCTGTCTATATGGTTCCTGAAATTCTGAAATTCTTTCAGCCGATGTAAAGCTCTGGTTACATTGGGAGGGTCAGTGCTCTTATTCCAAGTCTTCCCCCGGCTCACTGTAAACTTTGAGGGGAAAAGTAACAGAGGGACCAAGGTGCTTGCAGATGCTGATTCTTAGAAGTATGTGAAATATATTATTATTAGTTAGCAGTAGACAGAGCAATAAAATTACAGAGTGGTTAGAACCTGTAGTCAAAATGTAGAAATAAAGAGAAAGTCAGGATTCAAAGCACTGTTGTGAAGAAATTAGCTGGAGGATTTGGTAAACAGATGGCATTTTGAGTGCCAAGGGCAAGAGAAGTCGGAGGTACTACAAGATTACAAGCCTAGGGAGAGCGGAACCACTTCTGGAAATGGGGAAGTTAAGAAGCCGTTACTGAAAGATAGTAAACTATTTTAAGTGTATTTCCATTTGTAAGTTAATAAATTCAAGAGAAACCCAGCTGAGATCTGAATGCTCAACCTACTCCACTGTGAGAGTTACATTTTAAACCAAACAGGACTCTGTGGATGATATCCCTTAAGGCAAGCAGTGTCACATGAATTGCAAATACTAAACTGCTAATAGCTTTCTCAGGAGTTTGCTTCCTGTTAGGAACCCTTCAATGACTACATCCATTTATGTGTGGAAAAATCTTGCAGTGGTGAGTTGAAACCCCAGTTCAGAATATTTCTGCATAATTACCAATATGCACAGACCATAGGTATGGCCCCATTAGCTGTTTTTACTATTCTTCACAGCAGTAAACAGTAACCTCTTCCCACAATAGCCCTTTGTTGAGCAGAGTGCAAAGGGTCCTCTCATTGTTCTTATTCCACCCCCTGCCCACCAGAGGTTCTGTCAATGTGGGAGCCAGGGAGCTCTTTAGAGTCCAGTCCTCTGCCTTTCTCAGGTATTGCATGCATTTTAATTGGGCCAAGAGTTCAAATATCAAGGTCTCATGACAGAAACTGATGGTAGAGTTGAGCAACATGTATTCATCTCCCTGAAGTGCTCATAATAATTTTTTAGATTCCATTGTTCTGCCTGTAAGTATCTAAATGAGGTCATATCAGCTGGGCGCGGTGGCTTCCGCCTGTGATCCCAGCACTTTGGGAGGACTAGGTGGGCAGATCACTTGAGGTCAAGAGTTCAAGGCCAGCCTGGCCAACATAGTGAAACACCATCTCTACTAAAAATCCAAAAATTAGCCAGGTGTGGTGGCAGGCACCTGTAATCCCAGCTACTTGAGAGGCTGAAGCAGGAGAATTGCTCGAACCAGGCAGCAGAGCTGCAGTGAACCAGGATCGCACTATGACACTCCAGCCTGGGCAACAGAGCAAGACTCTGTCTCTGAATAAATAAATAAATGGGGTCATATCGGTAATTTATTGTCCATGGACCTTGAGTGGAAGTGAAGGGTCACATCTAGGTCAATACATCTAAAAGTGGCTCTGCCTTATTCATTCTTTATCCTCCACATCCTCCAGTCCCAGTCCTCGAGTCTGGAAGCAAAGGACTCCAACACGTGAAGTTCCCACTCGTTGATAGCCTGAGTCCCTGAGTCACCACTTGGAAGAGAGCTGTTTACGTGGACCGCCAGATCCACACCGCAACAGTAAAACTTTTAGTTCTGTAAGCCACTGGGGCGGTGGGCTTGTTACTGAAACATACCTGGTCTACCCTGACTGATAACAACCAGTTTTTATCTAACAATAGGCCATGTCTCCGTCTGTGTGTAGAGGAGTACCACCGGGATTTAAATGCATGACTGCACGGAGAGCACTATAAAAGTGCATCGTGAGTACCCAAGAAATACTAGTGGTTACAATTATATATTACATGCAGATTTTAGTTTCTCTGTATATTTACCAAGAACAGCTTAGAGAAGAAAGTATTCCTCATTTCTCTAGTGAACACAATGTGTTCCTCCCAACATGACTTTTTCAACATGGATTTTTAAAGTGCAAAATATCACCGATGATTCCTCTTTGGTCTTTCTGTTCTCTTCTCATGATTATTATTCTGGGATGAGCAACTAACATAAACTTGTTTCAGTTGTGTAATATTTTATATTCTCTGATTTGGGAGAACATTCTTTTCCCATCAAAGTCATAAAAACATTTACTCCACTAGGAATACTAACTGACTTTTATTTGAAACACAGAGAAAAAGAAGCCTTAGGTAAGTTGTAAACTTCTTATATCTGGAAGACTAACTTTAGCTTACAGTAGTTTCAATTAATTCCTAATTACTTTTGTATCATCTTTATATGAGAGGAGACACATTAGGAGTGAGGAATAATTATGTGTAGCACTATCTCTTTCACAGAGTTGAAAGAAGGTTGTGTTTATTATGAACACTACAGTAACGATCATTAGTAACTCTTTACATCTGTGTTTTTCTACCTCTGAAGAGCTTTGAGCTAATAAATTCTCCACTTACAGAAAAAAACGAAGAAGAAGATCTCACTTTTTCCCCATGGATATCACAAATTCAAAATATTTAGCAAGATATTATGATTTCACTGCGAAAACCCTCTCTGGTAAGTACTGACCATTTCCTGACTTTGAAAGGAGTCTACAGGACATACTAGAATTTTGATTACGTTATAAAATTGGTAATCTTTCAGATCATAATACAGCTACTAAATCTAAAGCAATGAAGGGAGGGACTTACCAAAGTCAATGCCAGGCTGCTCCGAAGCCAGATCACCCCTCTGGAACAAGCACTTCAAAAGGAGGAGGGCACAGGAGCAAAGCAAGTGTTAGTCTTAGAGTGTCTCTTCGAATCCTTTTTGTCCAGGAAGCTCAAATCAAACTTTGCATTAAGGTAGAAAGAGGGAGGTTACTCTCAGCACTCGTGTTAGAAACTCCTTGAAGTGATAGAGGCTGTGACAAGAACGAGTTTGCTTCTGATGGGCCTGTAACATAACAGGATGTTCTATTTCAGGCTGATGTGAGAAGATCAATATGGACCTTAATGGTTCCGTTGTCGTAACTTGTCCTAGTTTAATCCTGGAGATGTGGGTGGGTGCTCTTGTAGAGACAGAGATTGTGTTGTCAGTCAGAGAACATCACAGCTGCCCATGAACATTTAGCTTTAAAGAAAAGCTGTTTCTTTGCCTTTGGTGGTATTTTAAAATAAATTTCATAGTGGTTACTATATTGCAAATGCTTTCGCCATGTGGGAGTGTTTGCCACTAACAAATATTCTTCACACTTGCTTGATTCATGTTTCCTCTCAAAAATAACCAGACGTTTCATTTATTTCACCTTCCACTTTGAGAGTTCTTTATTGTTAGTTGTAAAAAAATTTATTTACATTACTGTAGTGATAAACAGCTTTATCTCCAAACTCCAAACACCTTTTTTTCTCTATCATATAGTCATTTGTAGAGTCATGCATGTATCAAGTGATAATTTTCCCTAATTTTTTTTTTTTTTTTTTAGCACCAAAGATGAATCTTTATGAATGTAGAATAAGACTTTTTCATAATGGGTAAGAAAAAAAAAATACCAGAAACAGGATTCTCAGATATTTAATTCTGTTTAAGCCTTCATTTTCTTTTTTTTTTTTGCTAAGCCTGAATGACCCTTTCTGAGCTTTCTGCTTGCAACGTGCTCATTAGAATCTATTAGGCCAAGAATTGTTTTTATTTTGATGACTACTGTATCACATTTCCCTCTTTGACCATCAAACAATTGGGAGGCCATAAGCCAGCCAGTTGTTTAAAGTTGTGGCTCTCCTGAAACAGAGAGATTCTGGACTAGAAATTCACAATTCCGCAGTTCAAGAAACAGAAGCTTAGAAAGACGACCTGCCTTGCTAGGACCACAGAGTGTCAACTGAAAAGGTGTGCTAAAAAATCAGCTCTTCATCCACCAGGGAGGTCAGCAATGGAATGATAAGGTAGGAGAGAAAGCATAGGCTTTCCAGTGAGCTGGGTGTGGGTTCAGGTCCTAGCTAATGACTCCCTGCACATAAACATATTTAGTCTCAGTCCTGATAATTCATCTGGTAACAGAACCGACCAAGAAAGGTTTGCAGGAGGATTCACTACAGAAATACCTAAAAGACATTGACATAGTACTTGGAATATGTCATTGCTCAAAAACAAATTATTTCAGCTAATCTTTCACCCCTTTCTTTCGTATTAAAATCCACTGATGTCATGGATATGGCTGCTAGTCACAGATGGTAAGTGGGGTGGGGAGAGATCTTGTTCTGAGAATCTTCCTAATTTCATGATTCGTTTTTTCTTTTTCTTTCTTTCTATTATTATTATTAGTAGTATTATTATTATTTGAGACAGAGTTTTGCTCTTGTTGCCCAGGCTGGAGTGAAGTGGCACGATCTCAGCTCACCACAACTTCCGCCTCCAGGGTTCAAGCGATTCTCCTGCCTCAGCCTCCGAATAGCTGGGATTACAGGCATACGTCACCATGCTTGGCTAATTAATTTCACTATTCAACATGTCTTGAAATATTACAAAACGTCTTATAATGCAATTTGTTTCTTGCAAATGGCATTTATTCTTGACCCTCTTTATGGCAGATGTCCCCTTCAATGGCTCCCCATGATCTGCACCTCGTGTCTTCATCCTCTTGCGTCATCACGTCCACAATCATCTTATTGAGTCTCTTCTTAGGAACAGATGTGACAGAAGTGATGGGATGTCCCTCCCCAAATCAGAATATGAAAAGACTATGGTTTCCATCTTAAGTGGTTTGTGGAGCGGTGTCTTGGCTCAGCTGTTGCACACCATGAGGACACGCAGACCGCCTGTGGTAGGTGTGGATGTGGATGATCGGTCCCAGTAGGGTCCAGAGAAGCCTGCAGTCCCAGATGGCAGCTTGACTACAACTTCATGTAAGGCTCGAGCAGGAAACCCAAATAAGCTATAGCAGTTTCTAGACACACAGAAATGTATGAAAAGAAATATTTGTTGTTTCAGGGCCTCCACATTTCAGGGTAATTTTTATGCATTAATGGATACCCTACAATATATAATTCTACAAAAGGTTAGAAACCTGTAGATTAGAGAACCATGTTTCTCTTTGGGTATTGGACAAGTATTTTATTTTTCATTTTAGAATAAAGCCAAATCTTAATATATATCATGCTGAAATAACAAGATTAAAAATCTACTCTTAAGAGATGAAGTCTTAGTAGGTTAATAAGATAAAAGAAACAGTTTAAGCTGTGAACCTAGTTTGACAAAACAGATATTAGGTATCCCGGTTTATAAAATGCTAACTAGGCTAATATCATTAGGATTTTTAATGTGTCATCATTACATTTAATTACATAATCCTTTATTTATTTGACAGATAATGATCAAATATCACACAGTAGCCATAAGTATAATTAGAACCCAGAATCTGCCTTCAAAAAGATCAGAGTGCGCTCTTTTACTTTTCTGTTTTAAATCTATTTCAAAGGATCCCAAAAACCCTCAAAATTTTGATAGAAAACTTTAGTTAAGGATTAGCACCTGGAATTTTGAATAGCTATCTATATTAACCAATGGAAATGGCTCAGTGACAAACATCTTATTTAAAACAACACTTTTATTTTAGCCAAAGGGATGTTTATATCTCAAGCAAAGGCAACTCAAAATGACTACCTGAAGTCAAAGGCTGGTTGGAAAAAAAAGAAAAAGATTTTATTGTGAGAACCCTGAACTGATATCTGATGATGCTTGGAACAACTCTTGAGATGTCAAAGATGATAATACAGTAACAACATTTGGGAAGTATTTCTGGTCTTACACTTAGCCTTTTGGCAGGAATTTATTAAGACCAAATAAGCCTGTGACTTTTCAATTCCGAGTACAATTTGTTTCTCTAACACATCCACAGGAGTAATGTGTGATGGAATCTTTCCCTCCCCAGCCCCTCTAGTGCGGATGATGATATGCTATAATAGGTTCTCACAGGCCATATCTCAGCAATATAAAGCCCAACACATGTACATCTGTGGCCCAGTGTCAGGACTCTAAATGTACATCAGAAATGCATTAAATCTTCTGATTGCTATTCTGTTTGTACAGCTTGTTGGTTCAGATTTCTTCCTGTAATGTACTCTGCTGATTACCTTGAATTATTGGTATATCCTTGGTAGAACAAGCACACCTTGTTCAGAAATACAGTCATACAGATGTGGCTTGAGCCCTTTTGGTGTTAAGAAGGAAAAAAAAGAAAAGAAAATATTTCTTGGAAGTTAAAACAGATAACCATGTGCTTACTTAAAACCACATCTCAAAAGCGTTTTTGCTTGCAGGTGATCCTCCAATCAGCATAGCCTTCCCGGGATACTCACGAGGTGCTCCATGTTTGATTAACTGCAGGCGGATGCACAAAAATGCAAATCTCCCTGCTGAAAGGAAAGAAAGAAGGAAAATAGTTTCTGGGTTGGTCTGTGCTCCAAGCAGGAAGAATGCCCCTTGCTCTCTTTGTGCACCATACAAAGGGTGTGCAAATATGTCTTAGCATTCAGAACGTTCAGAGTCATAGTATTTGAGAATTTTATTATGACGTGTTACCCCTAAAGTTAATACTATTTCCCAATTTTTAAAATGTTTCCAATAGTTGTGATTTATAAGTAATATGAGCAATAATACCAAAATAGAATATTTCAAAGCCTATTTGGATGTTGTTGTCTCAGTATATGAGCTTGTAAAACTATGAATTTTATCACCTTTTCCTAACTGGTCACTGCTACATAAAACAAGAAAATAAATTAAGCAGGTATTATACTTTGTATAGTACTATCACAAACCTCAGACACTTCAGTTCAGCTGTGTGAAAAAAATGGCCTAATTGTTAATATTTATGCCTCTATTCCTTCATTGTTAGTCTATTTTATTTAAGTATATACACTAATTACAGTATGTTAGTTCTATTTCTTATTCGTAATTGAAGCAGACCATTTGGGCTGCTGTAATGAAATACCTTAGGCTGGGTAATTTCTAAACAGAAGAACTGCATTTCTCACAGTTCTGGAGTCTGGAAAATCTAAGATGAAGGCACCAGTAGATTCAGTGTCTGGGGAGGGCTGCTCTTTGCTTCAAAAATAGTGCCTTTGCTCTGTGTCTTTACATGGTGAAAAGGACAGAGGAGCTCTCTGGGACCTCTTTTATAAGAATGCTAATCCCATTCACCTTCCAAAGTCTCCAGTTGTCGATACGGTTTTGTTGGGGGTTAGCTTTCAATGTAAAAATTTGGAGGGAACAAACAGATTTTTCTCTAATGGAAATAAACTCTTATACAATCAAATTGTAAAAAATAGAATTTTTTAGGGAAAAAGAGGAGAAGGAAGAAGATGTTATATTAATAGCATAAACCATTCGAAATTTCAAGGTGTTTGGGGTTGCAAAATCTGAATCTTTAGGTTTTCTGTTCTCAGAAATTTAGACAAAACAGCCAATGTTTTATAACTTCTGATTTATCATCTTTAAAAATGATGGAATAACTTCCCTCCTATTCTTACAATTCATTAAACTACATCAAAGTGCTTGGAAAACTTAAAAGACTGTTTACATGTAGACATGTAGTAATCTGGTTAATATCACCATAGTGAAGAATGAATGAAAGCAAAATCAAGGTAGCAATGTAAAGTATGTAAGAAAATAAATAAGCATATATCTCATTTCTTGCCCTATTGTTTATTATTTAAATAAAAATACAAGCAGTGTGAAAATGTTTAAAAGGCAGCTCTCTTCCAAAAGCTGATAATGAGCTAGCCTGTTACAGCAGCTGACATTTCCTGGTACACACAAAGAAGAGTACATGTCATGAAAAATTAGATGTGTGCAGTATTTTAATGTTAAAGAATTTGCAAGCAATAGACCTCAATGCTGTTACTAACATCAAACATGGAGACACTTAAAAGGGGTTGTGTTGAAAGTGAAATTTTATTTTCACAGTTTCCCTTAGACATTTCATTTTTTTCTTTTGCTGACTTTTCTAATTGTCGCCTATGAAAATTTGTTTTATTCAAAATGTAGACATTTTGAGAGCAGTGTCATTACCAACAACAATATTTCTGTATTTATAAGTTCTAGCAATTTACAAATATTGATTTTTGGGGATGAGTGCATGGTGAGCCTATTGCCTCTGCAGGTGTAAATATTCTGGCAAGTCTCTTTCTTTAATGCCTCTTTCATCTGTCTGTTTGTGTAGCCACAGAGTTTCCAGAAATATGTGCAAGGTATCTTCTACTTTCAAGAAATTCATAGGTTAACAGCAAACCCCAATTTTCTAGGATCCACAGTGTTCAGTAGTGTGTGGGTATACATATTGGTGAGCTCTCACGTAATGTATTTTAAATATTTAATTACAATAATTGTCTAGACTGAATCAGTGTGGCCTTGGGCTTGTGTCTTTGATGTGTAACTTCTCTCTCTCCCTCTCTCTCTCTAACATCATCTTTCTGAAAAGGGTCTTGATCAACCCTCGCTTCCTCCAGTTTGGGCTCTAGCCATGTCCATTGTGTGTGTCAATCAGGTGCAGTCTCATTGCACCTGTCCCTTTAAGTTCCTAAAGGAATTGTTTGAGCCTGGGTATGTAATACAAATGTGACTCCTCAGTACATTTCAAGGAAGGAGATTAATAGATAAGAATAAGAAAGAAGATTTAAACTTGTTCATTTTGACTCTCAAAGGCCATCCAAGACCCAGCACGTTTTATATTCCTGTAGGAACTGAGACGTTGCAGTCATCAAATTAAGAATTGAAGAGTTTCTGTACTTCTCAGTCTTACTTATGTTCTTAATCTCCTAATATGCAGCCTTATAAAGGTTAATGCAATGATCAGAAATCATTGGGAGTGAGAAATATATTCTCACTTTCTATTTACTGAGCACTTACTTGGTGCTCGATGCTAACAGTTTTAAGTGCATCATCTCACTGAATCTACACAGATAAATAATTTCATGGAATAATTATGGAGGAAGGACAGGCTGCCTGCCACTATCACATCTTTTATATTGAGAAGAGAACAGGGAAAAAGTGGGATTATTCATGGCTATCCACACATACACAACATCCATGCCAGGGGAACAAGGGAGATTTAGAAAAATGAGCTACTACTTTTCAAGATGGGGTTAGGAATAGGAAGGTACATTCTATAATTTTCCAACTGGGATCTTCCCGTGGGACCTAAATATCTACACACTGGCCTGGAAAATGCTAATATAGACACAGAAATACATGTGTATGCCTATGGCCATATTTATATCTCTCTATTAATGTATAGTTATTAGTAACTACATTTATATAGAATCTGTATCTATGTCCTTGTCTATGCCTGTCTATTAATATCTATACTGACAACAGCATCTATATTTATCTATCTTGACATCAACATCTATATTAATATCCACATCTATATTTTCAACTACATCTAATCAGTGCCTCTGTTTATACCTATATTGATATAGCTAACAATGTCTATATCCATATCTGTATCTATATCCAATTTAAGTGTATAGTGAGTCCATATATCAATATTGACATCAATATCTATTACTGTATCTAGTTTATATGTATAATGATACAGATATTCACATGTGCATCTAGATATATGTATGTAATCTATGTGTATGTATTTATTTATATCTCTATATTGGTATCACTGTTGATACTAGCATCAATACCAAACATTCACAGCTAATCTAATTCTATGTTTATAGGTATATCTATGTCAATGTCTACACCTATACTTAGATCTTGGCATCAGTGTTGACATCTACCTCACTTTCTACCTGTCTATCCATGCTGATTTCTGTATCTAATCTGTGTCTATGACTATGTTTATGTCTACATTTACACCAAGAACAACATTGACAAGAACATCAACATCAACATCGGTATCAATTTTTATACTGGATCTATTTGTATGTCTATATCAGTATCAATATAGACACCAATGTATACAGATTCACCCATATCTGTGTTTATGTCTTTGTGTTTATCCATATCAACATTGATACCAGCATCAACATTGATGTTGACATTAACATCTGCATTTATATTCAACTATGCCTATGTCTACATCTACATTGATATTGATGCTGCCATCTTTGGTGTGTTCATCTACACGTACAAGTACACTACAGGTTCATCTACAGCTACATGCACATATACATCTGTATCTATGTTTATTGTCTGTTATTGTCTGTGGCTAGTCTGTAACTGTACCTATTTTGACATCTATCTAATATATTTGACATATATCTAATATATATGTATCCTTACCTGAATCTACACTTACATCTATATTAACATAGGCCTCTCTATATATATATTTCTTTTTCTTTTTTTCTTTTTTTTTTTTTTTGACAGAGTCTCGCTCTATCACCCAGCACCCAGGCTGGAGTGCAGTGGCGTGATCTTGGCTCATTGCAAGTTCCGCCTCCTGGGTTCAGCCATTCTCCTGCCTCAGCCTCCCAAGTAGCTGGGACTACAGGTGCCCACCACCACGCCCAGCTATTTTTTTGTATTTTTAGTAGAGATGGGGTTTCACTGTGTTAGCCAGGATGGTTTCGATCTCCTGACCTCATGATCTGCCCATCTCAGCCTCTCAAAGTGCTGGGATTATAGGCATAAGCCACTGCGCCCGGCCTACATATATATATTTCTACATGTAATCTGTCTATAAACACAAACACACATATACATCTAACTCTATATCCTCATCTGCATCATTTGTATGCATATCATCTACATCTATATCTATCTATCTATCTATCTATCTATCTATCTATCTATCTATCTACACATAGGCCTATGTATATCTTTATCTCTTACTATATCTAGACCTATAATCTGCATCAATATCATGAGTTATTTAGGGAGTTCCTACAAGCTGCCTCACCCTCAGTGGGCACATGGAGAGAGGGAGAAGGATAACCTCTCTCCCTACCGCACCCCTGCTCCCCTCACAAACCAGCTTTCTAAATCTGACCTAGGTAGTTGTTACAGGAAACTGATGTTCATACTTTACCATAATTTGATAAAATTTGGCCTCAGAGTTATTTAACTATAGCAGAGAACCCATCTGTATTCACTTTCAGCATTTCTCTATCAAGCAATAGAGAATTAATAAGTGTTACAAGCACTGGCATGCCATAGCCCCAAACAAGGGTTTGCCAGTGTTGCACAAAGTGGCTTTGCACAGCACAGGGTAGCAGCCTTAGTGTCTGCACTGCCCCAGAATGAGTGTGAGACTCTGGAGTGAGATAGGCCTTCTAGAAAGGTTTCACTTCCATTTTTAGACTCCTCTCTGTCCCACTGCCCTTGGATTTCCAGCCATATCTCCTTAGAAGTCCAAATCTCTGAAGCAATAACAGTGACCTGGTTTTTGTGTAGCCAGCAAGCTCCACAAAGACAGGGCCAACTTAATTTGTGTCCTGTTCCACACGGGACTGGCTTTTCTTAGCTTGCTGCTGTCCCTTCATCTTTGTGTGGCCAGTGATACGTGCTGAGGACAAGGAAGGGTTTAATGCAAATTTGTTAAAGGCAAGAGAGGGGATTAAGAAGGCCACTTTCCCACCTCAATATCAATTCCAATAGAAAGATTACAAATTTTTCTCAATTTGTCCATCTGTATTCTTTTTTAATTTTAGTGTTTAGTGTACAGATATCATCTTCAACCACTGTGGATATATGTTTCTTACTTAATTGCTCAGGGTCGTTTTTGAAATCTAGTGAGAACATGCTCTCAGACTTTATCTCTTGCGAAAAGTTTAGCATAAAACAATCAGTACAGCTTTTGTTAGAGAAGATTAAGAAACCTTTCAGGCTTTAGACTAACACATGCCACAATCTAGGTGCCCGTTTGCTTCACAATGCCAGTTTTCTGTCTAAATCTTGTCTTTCCCAGTATTTTGAGCTCTGACACTGGACTGAATCTTCTAGTTCTTAATTTTTAGACCTTGTGCTTGACAAGGATTTCTGAAACACACTCTCTACCTGGGACCTGCACAATGGACTGCACAGTTACACTTTCCTCTAGAGGAGGATAATGGAAAAGATCTGGTATCAATAGGTTCATCTGTGTAGATCCTGAGTTCACCTCTGGCTAAAAATCTGCCTCTGCCTAGGTCCTGACTTGGTCTCTGTCTGAATTCCAGCTTTGGGGGCAGATTTGGTTAAGTTGCAGGAGAACCTCACTTGCTGCAGATGGGGAATCACCTTGCCCCTGTTGTCTCCTTGTATATGGTGTGACTAAAAGTGTGGCTATTTTACACAACTCTGCAAGACCTCCCAAGGCTCTGACTTTTGCACAGAGTGGCAGCCTTAGTGTCTGCGCTGCCCCCGGAATGAATGTGAGAATCTGGAGTGAGGTAGGCCTTCTAGAAAGGTTTCACTTCTATTTTTAGACTCCTCTCTGTCCCACTGCCCTTGGATTTCCAGCCGTATCGCCTTAGAAGTTCAAATCTCTGTAGCAAGAACAAAATTGAGGACTGCTCTGCCAGGGTGCCTTCGTCTTCTAACTCTTTCTTTCTTTTAAATCTGTCACCATCCTAATGTCACACGGCCTTACTATATTAGAAGCAAGACTGAAACACACGACTGTGATGTGCACCTACATCTGCTCTTCCTAATCTCCTCTCAATACCACACTACCTTGCTCTGGGCTTTAGCAAGCTGAGCTACAATGAGTTTCCTTACCTTGTAGCTTCCAATGAGTTTAATGGGAGAAGAACTAAAAGAGATTTGGAAGGAAATAGAGAGTGAGGTTGATAGATTCTTCTTTGTGGTGTTTAGGTGGCGAGATGTGTCTCTGATGTGCAGACAACTGATCTGGAGACTTGGCCCCCTACACACACCCCTGTACCTGAATTCTAGAAGCTGCCTCCTGCTCAGGGTTCTTCAGGCCCCACAGGTGGCACTGGGTCTGGCTATTATTAGCCTCAGGTGCTGCACCATCTCTGTGATTCTCTGAAATATACTCACTGTATTAGAAATAACCCTTTAGTAAAGTTTTCCCAAATCTCATTTTGAAGGTACCTTCAGTTTTATGCTGGGACTCTGAGTGATACAGTGGCCTTTGAGGTTGGGCTGAGCTAATTGTCCCAATGTTTTATTCTAGTGTTTGGTCTCAGCTAGATATTAATCTCACCTAGACTTTGAGTGAACAGTATACTTACTTTAGTTTAACCTGAAGTTTATTCATTTGCTTAAAATATTGTTTGACCTCATTTAATGTTCCAGGCCCTCATGAGTCAAACAGACCCAGATCCTGCTTTCGTGGGTCTTATGTTCTAGTGGAGTAGACAAACAAAACAGGGAACAAACAACAATATAAATGTAGCCTTCCTTTAGTATCCATGGGAGATTGGATGCAGGGCCCCCTACAAATAACAAAATCCACTGACTCTCAGGTATGTTGTAAAAGATTTTGTAGTATTTGAATATAACCTATGCACATCCTCCTTATATTTCATGTCATATCTAGATTAGTTATAATACCTAATACAATGCCTGCACATCATATCTTTTACATGGATTTGGTGTAGTATTCACGGTTGGCTGTTTGAAACTTTGTGAATGTTTTTGTTCCAATAGTTTTGATCCACTGTTGATTGAGTCCGCAGATGGGGAATCCATAGCTATATAGGGCCAACTGTATACATCACAGAGTGAAAAGTGCTTTGATGAGTATAAGACAGTTTTCAAAAGACAGGTAACTGCCAATGTGAGGCAGTTACTATTTTAGGAAGGGTGGTCAGGACACAGCTCTCTGATGAGATGACATTGGTATAATACCTGGAGGAAATGAGAAATGAACCTTGTTTATATGTGAAGGAAGAGATGCCTTGACAGAGGATGCAGCAAATGCAAAGATCCAAAAGTGAGAGCTGACTCAGCAGGAGGAGAGAGGAGGAGAATGGGAGGAGAGTGAGAAAGAGGAGAGTGAGAGATGAGGTGGCCGGCAGAGAGGGGAGTGGGGCTGCCACATGCAAAATCATGTCAGAGGACATGAGAGGAAGCAGAGAGACCATTTGGATACTATTGGCAGTTGTAGGCCAGTGTAGTTGTGCCATCATCTGGGTAGATGTTCACTGAACCACTTCCTTTTCTAAACTCAACTCAATCTCATTTCCCAGCTACTTTGCTTCTATGACTGGTGGACAAGTGCTCACCAAAGGAGGTGAATGTGAATGTCATTTCTGGCCCAAAGCAGTTAGGAGAGGAGTTTTTCTCTGGTTGGTCTCTCATCTCCTGCGTCAATGTTGAGGCCTAGAGCCTCAACCCTTTGAAGCTGTCTCAGGCTCTTCCAGAGTGGATTCTGACAAGACAGTCAAGACAGTGTGGAGGAGAACATCCCTCCCGTCATCTTCACCAGCATTAATCCTGATGAGTGGTGACATGGGACAAACACCTTCTCTACAGTCAGCTAGTAATATGTGAGGTATGTTTGTTATAGGATCTAGCATTACTTACCCTGACTAATACTTCTACCTAAAAGTGGAATGCTAATGAAATAAAACCTAAGACTTAGAAACTTGACTTCATAGTTGTGTGGTAGACACTGACTAGGGACATATCTGAGCTGAAAAGGTGTTGATTCATATCATGCAAAACAGCAAATCACGGGCTGAGGCAGCATCTCTAGGGAAAGTGCTGGAAATCAAAGTGTTAGTGTGATAAGTGACCAGATTGCCAAGGATAAATGACAGAAAATAGAAAAAAAAAAATGAGTTCTTAATGAATTGGAAAATCTAAGTCTTCATATACCTTACATGGGTGGAAAATGGTTGAAAAAGCCCATAAGAAACCAGGGTGTATTAAAGGCCAGCTACGAATTGGAGACCCGATTTTAAATATGCCTCCTCAAACCATACAATTTCTTTTCTTTTCTTTTTTTTTTTTTTTGAGATGCAGTTTCACTCTTGTTGCCCAGGCTGGAGTGCATTGGTGTAATCTCAGCTCACTGCAAACTCCGTCTCCCGGATTCCAGCGATTCTTCTGCCTCAGCCTCCCAAGTAGCTGGGATTACAGGCATACACCACCATGCCCAGTTAGTTTTTGTATTTTTAATAGAGACAGGATTTCACCATGTTGGGCAGGCTGCTCTCAAACTCCTGACCTCAAGTGAGCCGCCTGTCTCAGTCTCCCAAAGTGCTGGGATTACAGGCATAAGCCACCGTGCCCGGCCCAAACCATATAGTCTTAAGGGGTGGCCATTAAGTTGAGACAGAAGCATGAGTGTGAAGAAACAAAATGATGAAACAGGTTTGGGAACTTCATCACGGAAAAAATGTTAGAAATAGTT